TTTCTGAAGAGAAGACAGACAGGAGAGGCATGGAAAAAAGGAATAGAGAAATAAGGAAACAACTGTAAGACAATGATTTTAAAAGAAAGTTTATTTCCAATCTGAAAGCAATTAAGAAAGGGAAGTACTGAATAAGTATGTAGCTAACAAAATGCACAGCTGCTATGTAGACGTTCACAGGCTCTACCTACGTGCTGCTCTGAACTTACACCCGTTGTTCTTTTGCTGTAGTCTGACAGGAGCATGAGCAGTTGTGTTGAAGAGATGACTTTTGCTCAGACTGAGTGTGGAACTCTGCTCCCCTATCCCCTGTGACACCTGTAATTAGCATGAGGAGCCCTAGAAGCAGCCTGGCTAAAGAGCCCCACAGAGCCAATTCCCTCCTAGAGAGCACTTGAGCAATGGACATCACCACCAGAGGAAGAAGCTGAGTGAGGAGCTCTGCATGCTTCCACTGTGCCACACTCTCAGAGCCAAACCATCCCAAATTCTCTGAAGCTGATTAAATTCCACCTTTGAACCACTACAGATCTTGCAGACTCAAGCCCTATTCTTCCAGTAGACGTAACAGCACACAAACTGATGTCTAGGCAGTGCCTGACTGATACTCCTACAAATTTGAGCGGTTTAACGGTTTTCAGGATATATACTTGCAAAATTGGCTTCTTTCCCTTTCTGTAACACTTGTTTTTAAGGTGCACTGAAGATTTTGCTAAGGGAAATACTTATCTGGAGCAGTACACACTCACAGGCAAGCAGCTGCTTTTAACTAAGAGTTTTCAAGCTCAAGGAAACCATTGTTTCCAACTTTTGTGGGTAGCAGGGGAAGTCGAATAATGATGAATGGGGCAGAAATAGAACAATAGCCAATTTGTCTGGCTGTCAGAACTGCCAGAGAAGTGGCACTGCCATCTTGTCAGGATTCCTGCACTTGCACATTCATCTGGAATCCTCCAAAACCACTTCCATCAAATTGGGAGAGTTCTGCCAAAATCTGGCTGAAACCCATTCTATATCAGCCAGCATAATTCACCTTATTATGAGAGTTCACCTTATCATGAGAGGAATAAATGGAGTGAAAAAGCAGAAGAGGAAGAAGGTCAAGTTGCTTTTATGAAAAACAGAAACACTACAGCCACCTGTGCCAAGGCTGTTGGTGGAGAGCTGAGAGCAGAGAGATCTTTGCTGTTTTCCCAGCTTTTATCTTGGTTTTCAGCAGGTACCCAGGGAGCAGTGTGCTTATCACCAGTGCCAGCGATGGCATTCCAGTCTTCACACAAAACAGGGACAACAGGTCCCAGTGGGAGTGTGCCAACTGGGAGATGTTGTGTCTGGGCCACTGACAGCCTAAAGGTGAGCAGTTTAAAGATTATTTTATCTGGTGGTGTGCTGCTAACAGCTGCTGTTAGCTGGCAACCTCTTTTCTCTTCAATTACAAGGTCCAGAGTTAAATGAGTTTCCCATCAAAAATGGACTTTGTATAGCCAAAGGCACGCCAATAGCTGATGCTGACAGCCCTTGTTATCTTTTTAGGCTACAGTCTGCAGGCAGAGAGGACATTTCTCAGGAATTTATTCACCCAGGAACTCTAAATAATAACAGCAAGAGAACAAGGTATAGAAAGGGTAATTTGACAGCACTACGATTTCTACAAAATAAAGAACAGCTTCTGGATCCAAAATCTAGGAATTTCAGGGAAGATCTGAAGGTACTCAGAAATTAAAACGTACAAAGTACGTTTAAAAAGTACAGGTTGTGCCAAGCACATACAATTCAGTAATTCTCTATGACTATGAGAACACACACTCAGGACAGTTTTTAGTGACTCCCTACAGGTACAATTAGAATGTCCCATTCCTCTGTTGAGGCCAAGTTAAAATAATCAAAATAGAAAGATTTTGTATCAGCAGTTAAAAACCGCACAATGTCTAATGCAGAGAAACTAAATAGTCACTACACTACTAATTTACCTCTGTTACTAACCTGTTTCCTTTTTCTCCTTCAGGGAACATGCAAAACCATAAAAGAGGTACTGTGCCTTTTTTGAATCTACTACTATTCTTTTAATCATCTCTTATGTGCATCATTTAAGGTAAGACATTTTACAAACATTTTTAGGTGTGCAGATAAAAATAATTTTAAAAAATCTCTTACTGTCTTGAATGTATCTGTTTAAAAACAAAAAAAAGCTAATCCCATCTGTCCCACAAACCAGTCCTGCACTTTCTGATTTTTCAGTCATTACAACTATATTCAAATCTGAATTAGCCCTACACCAGGGAAAAAGCCCCACTGGAAAGGTAACTTTGAACCATTGCTTTATCTCCAGGAGCTTTTTACATCCATGTGGGTAGTTTCTGTTATGCCAGCAGACCTGCCAGATGTTAGGAAGTCAGTCTCTTTCCCTTGTCTGGCCTCACTAAGATGCCTGTTCAGGACCCTCTCAGCAAATTCTACAGAAACTAGCAGTAACACAACAGAGAGTCTAAAAGTCTCTTGAAAAATAAGTAAAAAGCAGCAGCAAATCAACCTAAGGGCTGATGATGGATTTAAACAAAAGAAAGGGTAAAACACCAGGCATTTTGACAACTACATAAGATACTTTTTCCTTATAAGAAAAGTTCCACACACTTACTTGTGTCCTGAAGGTGTAAATGGTTTGTCATTCTTTTGAGCAAAATGCTGCAAATAATTAAACAGAACAGTAATAACCCAAAGAAAATATCTTATTGTTTCAGAAGCTGAAATGGATTGGATTTAAGGGGGTCACATTTCCAGCAGAGATAAGTACACAGATTGTGTAGGACCAAGTGCTCACAATGTTGATATAGGCTTCTGTGTTTATTAGGATAACTGATATAAGCTGGTATGTTTATTGGGATAATTAAAGTCTGCTTTGAATATAACCCTCAGTTAGAAAGTCTGCTCCTGATAGGGTAAGGTGTCAACCACTTAGTGCTAATGGTGATGGCCTAATGAGATTGTTAGATTTTCCTCTGGCCAAGTGAACTTCACCAGCAGAATGAGAAACAGAATCAAAGGAATGCCAAACTGATGGGACGTTTTACAATACACATAACACAACAAGGAAAAATGCTTGCTTCTCTGCCTCAGTTTGAGTGCAGTTTACTACCTCCAACAAAAACACTGAAAATGGCTCTTGATTTTTATTTTGTTGTCATGGGTGTCTATACTTTAAAAGGCTTTTATCCACAGACCACAGGATACTTTTGGGAAAATGGTGTTCAAATATATACTTTGCAAATAAAAAAGTAGTACTACCTTATTATAAACAAGGGGCTAGAGTTTGATTTTATGCATCTGCAAAGATAAGGCAATTTCCATTTTTTCAAGACAAAAAGGACGTATGCTGGGTAAATACATTTTCTAAAGCTTTGAACAACTCTGTTAATAGCTGAACAGGACACAAGTTACATGTCATTTCCAGTCTCTCAAGACCTTACTGCTTAAGGAAAACAGTTTGCATGCCACCCAAACGTTAATGAAATTTCACCTGTGCTGTTTTAAAATTAGACAAAACATTTGTTTTCTTTCAATGACAAACTCAGAGTGAACAGAATAGGTTTGTTATGGGGCATTTCTGCATCTTGGTCACCTCGAGGTGTAGAGTCTGACAAAACTCAACAGCCGTAGAGCTGGAGTTGCCACATTCAGAAACATTTTCTACTATATCCTAACTCCACACCATCTTTCCTTGGTGGCTAAATTCCGATTAAATGGCTTCCTGTCCCTGGGGAAGGCTCCCTGAGGGCACTGGGAACAGCACAGCGATGCAGAGGGATTTTGCTGCTGCAGCACAATCCTCACAGAAACCAGAGCAGCCAGTGAGACAAATGCCGGCAGTATTTGAGGGGTGAGGAGGGTCAGGAACTAGAGCCGCTGTTTAGGAGGTCTGTGAGCCCCTTGTGCTGAGCAGACACCACGTGCCTGTCTGGCACCCAGGATCTGCGGTATCGGTCAGCTGAGCTGGGGTTAATCACAGCAGCACGGATGAGGCTGTTTACAGCAGGATTTACTCTTATGAAAACCATCAGCCCTTTAGGGTGAAATGTTATGCAGAGCGTGTCTGGCACAATAGGTCATCAGCCTGGAGCACCTCTTTTACTGTCAGAAGAGGCACTAAACTACAGTAAAGCAAAACCCACCATAGGGAAAAACTGGAGAAATACTTAAATGGGAAAAGTTTACTGTGAGGTCTGGAAAGACTCTGGGCTTACTCCTTTATGGAGAGAACTGGTATAGGCTGGGTATTGAAATACAAGAGAAAAATTGTGACTGGAAATGTGGGGGTCAGTCTGTAAGAGGCAGTGATACACTGTGGGTAAAGTATAAAGATTTTTACTGCCAAACACTGAGTCCTGTCATATTCTTTTCTTCCTCCTCTTGAAATCCTTTTTGCCAGTTTTTCTATCTATCTAACCCGATCTCATCCTGTCAAAACTCCACTACAGGATCTTCCAAGGCCAACGTGCAGCATAAACTACCAAAACAGCTCCTTCCAGTCCTGGCTGAATGGAAGTGGGAGGGAAAAATCACCAAGGTCTCTCCATGCAGAAGATGAGTCTGTTATGAAGGCAGGCCTAGCAGCTAAGGCACACAATCACCTCAGCTTTTCTTTAAGCAGTCTAAATCACTCTACCTTATTTGTTCAGTAAGTTTTCCTTTGTAGAGGTAGCTAGCAAAACATGGAAGCATGACCTTTGGCTTGGGAGTTTTGCAAGAGTAACTGGTAAGGTAACAGTCACAGAAATAGTTTGTAAAATACAGTTTTCTTGACTGAGCTGGTTGTGAATGAACACTTTGCAGCAAACCAACTTGTATGAAAGACAAAGAATACTCACATTTGTACAGTGGTCAGGAAATGTCCTGGGAAATGAGAAGTAAGAACTGAAGTTGTTTCTTTGCTAAGTCAAAGCCACCGTTCCAGCCACCGTTTCTAGAAACTATTAGCAATGTAATTTAAGGAAAAAAAAAAAACCTTTGAACATTCATGTCAAATGATACAACTTTAATATCTAAAAGGTGATAAGTACTAAGAAACTGATCTAGTTGACAGGCAATTAATCCTCCTTGCATAGTACATTTATCTCCATGGGATATCAAGATTTACAACATTTCAGGAAAACCGGCACCTAAGTGAGCAAGCAACCTCAATCCTATACAAAAGTTACCAACAACCTAAATGTTTCCAAGTTTTCCCTTGTAATTTAGGCAGAGAATAGCCTTTGCTTTGTCCCCATCTATCCCACAGTACTGTATTCTCTCACTGCACTTTACAGCTGGCTTTCTGTGTAGAAAACATAAAAGGCTGCAACCCACACTGTAATTCACAATAAATTGGCTCATTCTATTCAAACTTGGCCTTTCTGAGGTCAAATACCTCCAGGTACTTCGTTATGGACTTTATTTTTTCATATAGGATGTGCACCTCACAGTACTTCAGATTCCTTAATAAAGATTTTGTCCAGGGGATGTTCAGTCCTTCCCTTGAGAAGGCAAAAGGTGAGGCTTCAGTTTCACAAGTGCTCTTGACACTAATCTAAAATAAGCACTGAATCTTACAGGAAGCCAAAAATTTTAACTTGCTTAACCAGCCTGCTAACAAGACAAGAGTAAAAACACTTCTTCATATAAAAAAAATTGGAAGTTACATTTTGCTGTATGTATTAGACATATCTACAGTGGATTTTTTTCCTTTACAGAATGATAGTTGGAGAGGAGCATTGTACTTACATCATCATCAAATCCTTTTTTCTAGTAACTTGTGTCCTGATTTTCAAAAGCACTGATTATCAGCACATGCTAGGTACTGAATGGTAGCAGTAGGCACTCAGAACTGTTGAAAATAGACTATTAGTACTTGTACTTTTGCTGCAAATGCACCATTTGAAAACAGTTCTCTTGAAAATGGGTAACTTCACCTTTTAGTGAAAATCACTCTTGTAGTGTTTTAGAATGTCTGAAATAACTATTACCAGTATTTACTTAATACACTATAGTGGATTACGATCAAAATTAATGTCAAAAAATTAAGTTTATGATAAATAAACTTTGGAAAAATTTATACAAGGCCGTAAATAAATAATTTGAACTTCAGTCTCAATAAGAAGTAAAACAATACATCACACAACAATATCATCCTATCTAAACAATACAATCTTGCTATATTTTATTGCATAATAATTTGAGAGTAACATCTTAAGTAAAATATGTGAAGAAACAAAATCATTAGATTTACTTTCTTTAATATTGAACAACCAGTTCTTTGTACATAATCCAATTTAAAGATAATATAATTAGCACTTCCAGCATTAACAGTCTGTATTTACAATGAATGAGATGGGGTAGATAATCTAAAGAGTATTCAAATCTGTATGAAACAAATCAAAATACGAAGATTTACAGTAGTAGGCTCAAAATCCAAGACTTTTCCATTAATGGAATGCAATTTAAAAAGGCTTTGCTGCCTTTATTACTTGTAATGTTCCTGAAATGGTTATTTAAACAGCTGAAATCTTCAGTAATGCCTTCATTATTTGTACATGACATTAAAAATTAATTCCAATACTTCTGTTTTTACTTGCTTGTAGACCAGTCTGAAATCTGATGAAAGGATAACAAGGAAGTTTACTATATAATCCTAATTCCATACTCCTGAATGCAACGGTTGGAAGTAGATGATGTCAGTCTGTTCCAAGGGTTATGTACACAAAACTTAGAAAATGTTCTTCACTCTTGCATAAAATGTGTACACAGTATCACTGAGTGGGGGACTTCAAAGTTTTTATGGGCTGTTGCTGGCATGGACCTTTGTTGGTTGAAAATAAAATACCTTTCACTCTATTGTTCTGGTAGCAGTTTTGGAAGTTAATCATCAATCCCTGGTGTTTCCCCCTGTTGTATTCTGGAGGCTATTCTAATGGCTTCTTCCAGAGACTGTTGTTCTCCAAGCTGAAACGAACGCAATTAAACAGAAAGAAATCCAAAATGTTACACTTGGATAATAAACGCATCAAAAATTATTTGAAAGCAAAGATCTAGATACCAAACAATACTTCAGCCCAAATAAGTGTGATCAGTATTGTCACACCTCTCCTGGCTAATATACACCAGCAGCTATCTAATCAGCATGACAATTAAGATAGCTGCTGATAGGAGATTACACTGAGTTTCTATGTAACTACAAAATACATGTGCTTCAAAGAACTGCTGCATGGTAAACACACTTCATGACCCACAAAGTAGGTGATATTTTACTTGGCAGATATTACAAAGCTCAGACTTACAAGGCTTGCAGAAGTCACAGTGGCTGTTGCAGTACATTTTATCACAGGTAGAGCAAACAAACATCTTCATTTTTCTTAACTCTCTAACAGTCAGCTCTTTGGAACACCACATGACAATAATTTATAGAAAAAGTGGACATTTATTGCAGAATCCCAACTGTATGAAAAAGCTATTGTGATGACACTGTTTGATTCTACAGTTAGTTTAGAGAGGAAATTATCTAGTACTACCAGAAGCAAGATAACCAACCCTGAATAAAGACAACTGGACACAATTTTGGGAAGGAATCTATGGAGTTTTTATAATATGGCCAGGGGAACACTGAAGACAACCTCAACCTCACAAAAAAAACATAAAGCTGGCCATTACCTATTGGCTCAGGAGAAACACATATGAGAATGTGAAAGGTAAAACCAAATTGTTTGACCTAATGGGACAATTCTAAGTATCACTTATTTTTACAGCCTCTGCATATCACATTCTGGATCCACTCAAATCAAGACCTCTCTTTTCACCTCGTTAGGGCTTCATTAAGGACTATCAGGCTACTGGTTTTACCAGTACTTAGAAACCAAATAGATTAATTTATTAGTATCAAAGTACAAAAGAAAAGCCAATCAAACCCTCAGGAACAATCAATAGTATTTCAATTTAGAATTCTCTCTCTTCTATTTGTGTATTTTAAGTTTAACTAACGTAGAGACTTAAGTTAAAGCTCCATTACTGGCAACAGAAGAGGGGCTTGTGCAGAATGCCTGTTTTCCTTTAAAGGTCTCACTGCTCAGGGTGCAAGTTACTTTTTGCTTGCTCTCATGCAAACAATTGCATTCTGACACGGTTTCTCTTACAGGCAGTTTTGATTAGTGCCAACCTAGCTCAAGAGAGAGGAGTTCAGAATTCAGAGCTTCTCAACTTTCAACAGCATCTGACTTGCTACTTTCCATTTAACAAGGGGTAAAATAACAATCTCTCATTTCTGCTGGAGGATATTAATACTATTCTTTTCAATCTGAGCTCTTAAGAGCTCTTTCATACCTAGAAATTACCTTTTCCTGACAGTGTTTGAACAATGTGAGGAACTATTTACAGAGACTGCTTCTACTGTGCACGTTTGGCACACAACAGAAGGTCTCTGTTTCCAGAGATTTCTGATTATTAATCTTTCTATATAACCATTTGCACTATTTTACTATTAGCATTTCAAGGCTCAAATAATAAATCTGCTAATTTTGTAAGTTCATAGCAATTTACCCTTGAGAGTTTGGCTTTATGTATGTCAGCATTATATGTAAAGCTGAAGGATGAACAAAAACACTTTTTCACTGAAAACCTCTGACTCCATGAACAACTCAGCTGACCTGACGTTTGGCCTTTCCCCAGCCTTCCCCTTTTATTGGGAATTCTACAAGTATATTTGGAAAATCAGATGCTGTTTATTCCTCTTCCTAACCCTATATATTATTTTAAATACAAGATCATATGGTTGTAAGCTATATTTTTTTCAGGGAAACCAAGCTTATTCAAATCATTGTTACCTGACTAGGTAGCTTCTAGCTCTAGAAGTAAGAAACACTCCAAAAAAACCCATTTATCACCATCTTACCTGCACTGCAATTTGTGTCCCATTGGATGTAGCCAACAATGTAACAGGTCTGGTTTCTGTAGTCACTAGATGGTGTCCGTGCTGCTGGTGTCCCATTTCTGAGGAGGCACTGTGAAACGCTGCTAGGTCTTGGGCCACAATTGCAACCTTCAGGACAAAGGGACAGAATCACCTGCCTGGCAGATCTGCTCCTGCTCCTCACCTTGTACCACCACTGCCTTCAAAGTTACATTCAAAGCTGGGATTGCTCATGAGTGTAATTGTATTGTGCAAAAGAAAAGTTGCCATAATTGTGTTCTCTAAATTATCTACTAGGTCTTAAGATATAAATGTCCTCAGGGCTGTAGCAATTCAATAAAGGCACCTACAGACCTGTGATTATCTACACAGAGATTAATAACTATCTTCATTTTCATGTGGTACAATTCTAGAACAGTAAATATATTTTAACTTATAGATAACATCATATTTGTACTAAATTCCTGTTTTATCTGTACATTAGAAACAAATCCACAGATATATACTTACACAAATGTTTCCCATCTGCCAAATAAATTACAGTCCCATAATATTAACCAATGAAATTACAGTTCATACTGGATTCTATTCTTAGTTCTGCCACTCATTTACTATGTGACTTTGGGGAAAATGCTTGGCATTTCCAGGTCTTATTTTACAGACACCTAAATTAATCATTGGACTGGTACATCAAATTTTTTTCTTGGGGCCTGGTTGTTTTTAAAGCATTCCACCACCATCTGCTGATGTACAGCACTGGAGCAGAACGTATCAGAACATATCTTGCGAGGGGAATGTGTTGGCAGCTGGAAACTGCTTTGCTGAGATAAATCTACAATGACAGAAGTGTGATGGCTCAGGAGCCATTTGATAGCAGCTCCCCAAGGGACGCGAGCCCGGTGTGCAGGGCAGTGTCTCACCTGCTGTCCCTCGGTGCCCTCTGCAGTGACCATGGCCACCGAATGCGTTCCTGCGGAGGAGATGACGGCGTCGTGGGCAGGGACTGTGATGGTGGTGCCATCTTGTGTCACCATCGTGATGGTGTTGCCGATGGCCTGCATGTCTGCCTGGGATATGTTCACCTGCAACACACAGGAGCTCCTGAGGCAGGGAAGGGCTTGCTTGCTGCTCAGATCAGAGCCCTCCTTCCATCTGCCTCACTGGCTGGGATCTAACAGTTCATGACCTTTCAGATACACTTACCTGTTTACAGAAAAGAATATGGCTCTCCCTAGCAGAAAGAGGCTGCATACTTAATCCCAGAGCCTACAATTCCATGAGAATCTGAGAGTATCCCAAATAACAGCAGATTATAGATTATGATACTCTAACAATAGATTATCGATGCATGTGTCTTACACAGAGGTCAATGGGATTCAAGGTTGCACCACCTGACATACTTTGATCTTGATGGAAATACTAAAGAGGCCTGCAAGGGCTTAGAACTTAAACCACAAATAAACAATCTGTAACAGATTAATGATATAAATTACTGATGTCTCCAGTATAAATGCATTAGGGCATCAGATATGTAATTTGATGTCTGATTTACAAGGTAATAAATCCCAGAACTGAAGTCAAGCTGAAAGATAATTTAAATGTAAGAATTGTATATCAAAGCTTCTGCAGGCCTTCATTTTAGAGGGTAAAAATGCCAGTTACTTAGTTTTGCTGCAATGTCCAGAGCTGGCAATATAACAGGCCCTTGGGATATTTTATTTCAGTCTGAATTCAGAATACATCTTTCATATGTTACTGGTATTTCAGCTGCCCTGCCAGCTGATACAGAAACTTTTTCCCAAAAGCCTTCAATATACTGCCACAATGAATCAAGAGTTGTGTTGAAATCCCCTTCCAAGGAAATTTCATATGAAATCCTTAAAAGTATGTATACATGAAAAACCTTAATAAAAAGACAGCCATAGAAATGTTTAAGTGGAAAACAGTATCAAAGGATTCCTTATCCTTTAGTTTATGTTAGAAACTGCACACTACCAACCAAACTGCTGGTAAAGGAAGCACCTGGACTGAAGAGACTTCCCACCTCTCCACGCCTCAAAGTGTGTGCAAACAAGACAGTGAAGATGCCATCAGATATTAACAGCATAATCAGGGAATTGTGAGAAACCTCAGAAATAGGCTGTATATACAACAGTTGTTAAAACAGCCCTTTTCAGAGTGACAAAGATAACAAGGAGAGACCAATCCCCTAATTTTGTATTAATACAGTTTCATGTGTCAGAACGTGGTTTCACATATTTAGGTTCCACAGGAGGCACAACCCTAAACATATCTTGACACAGCTCCAAAGAAGTTTCTTTCCTTAAGAAACCCACAAATGTTTAACAAGAATCCTGTGTGATTTGAGGCACAAACCTGTGCCTCAATCCTCAGCACGGTTTTGTCAGCATTCGAACACCGCAGTTACTTACATGCTGGGTTCCATCCTGGGATATTAGTGCTACTTGTTGGCCTAATCCTGACTGAGTAACTGTAGCAACCTGTGCAGAAATGACATCTTCTCCCTCTACACCTGTCACGTAGGTGATCTGGGGGCCTTTGAGCACATCTTCACCTTGTCCTATTGGATACACAGAAGGAAAGAGGATACTTTACACACTCTAAATGCTCCCAGGAGAGCAAATGACAAGGATTAAGTCCCAGGCTTGTCTGAAGGTTTTAAACACTCCAACAGAAAAATTTAGTGGAAAGATGAGAAAAATAAAAGAAAGAAAGATACCAGAAGCAAGTCAGAAAGTCTTATTTTGGGAACACAGGGTATAATCTTCTAGCAATGAGTGTAAAAGACAGATAAATACTACATATACATTTAGTATGTAAGCACATATTAAAATGTGAAAAACATTTCTTATTTATTCATTAAATATTAACCACTCAATGCAAACACAACTGGAATTGGTTTTTTTACAAGTTATTAACGAACATACAGAAGACCATAGCGCTGCCTATGTGAAGACTTAAGTTCATTATATTGATAAATGTTTAACCTCAGCAAATGAATGTTATCATTCCTTTAAAAGAAGGAATTAAGCTACAGCAAGTCTGCTTGAGGTATTCAGTGCAGTTTCCCATGAACATGCAGCAAAACAACTTCTCTAACCAAAACAGTTTGTGCGGGTGTTTCTGATCTCCAGGCACATCTAAAAATCACAATTTGACAGGTGGTGTTTGTCCTATCACAGTATTTCCTTCAGTCTGATTCTTTAGGATTCATAGGATTCAATATTCATGATACCATGAACAGCATACTCTGTTGTGCAGCACAACAGCTCATTTTCATCTCTGCCTCTAGGACAGTTTACAGAAACTTCTCTAAACCACAGCAAAAACAGCCCATATCACTGTGCTGCAAAAACAGATATTTTTCTCAAGGCAGAGTCTTTACTCCCACACAAAAGCATGCCACCAGCCATGGTGTTACGTATATGCACTCTTTGAAAAATCCCTAACAAAAGTCCAGTAAGGTGTTAGCTTAGAGTCTCTCTGGTCCCTTGCCCACATGCATGTTTTTAGCAGGTTTGCTGACACTGCAACTCAAATTTCTCTCTTAACCCCATGACTGCTATAAATGAGCTTATTATCTGGCCAATTAACATGCAATTTCTGTCTAGAAGTTGCCTACCACCCTAAAAAATCTTACAGAGAAATTAAGGTATCTTTATTAAGTACTTTAACTTTTTATCTATGTTTTAATTTCCTTGGCTATCAAAATCCTCCAGCAAAATACCATCTAGCCCTTTTTTCTTTCTCCTTTTAACTAGAGATTCTAAGGTTGCAATTCTAACCTGGAGGTGGCTCAAAGAAAGCCTCTTGTTCTTCCTCAATGGGCTCTGTGTCGTTGTGCGCTGTCCGTTTGTGCATAGCGAGGGTGGAGATCTGCTTGTAGGTCTTCCCGCAGTGATTGCAGTTGTATGGTTTGGAATGAGTATGTACAACATGATGTTTGTATAAACTGGAATACTCTGTGAAACGTTTGTCACAGCCAGGAACTGTACAGACATAGGGCTTCTCCCCTGCATGGGAAAGCAAAAGGTATAAAGAGAACTTTGCTCAGGATGCATAGGAAAAATTGCCAGCAAATGATAATTAGGAACAAACCTTCATTACCAACCATACTTTAATTTCAAAGGCAACAGAGAAGGTCAACCTCACAAATTTTATCAATGCAACGTCTTACTGTCTTTTTGTAAGAATTACTGCCAGCACAAGTTGGGGTCAATTTTTCTCCCTATCATTCTATCTAAAACATCCTTCTGGTGAAGGCAGAATGATATCAGCTGAAAACTGCAACTTCAGTTTGTCATTGTACTGAGAATTTTGTTATTTTTTTACTGGAAGCCCCATCATTTTCCTCGGTGATCAGATATACTGATTGACTAGTATCACATCAGAGTATTGAAACCTCTGAGGAAATCCATAGGAAGCATGTGTATAAACAATTCTGGTTTAATACAGAAACATCTTCCATTTAAAAATCAATGAAACAAGTGTCCAAATTACATTGTAAACTAAAAATATAAACTGAGCTACAAAACGTCCCTCTATTAAGCTTGTCTACCAAGATAATACGGCTATGACTGGCTTTTACATTTAGAATCTTCAAATTTGTGCTTATTATTTCTGCTCACTAACTCTGAAAATCAAGTTAGATAAGTATTTTCACATCCAGTCTATAAAAAAGGAAGTTTTGACCACAGTTCCAGCAGCAAGGAAAATACAGCTGGGATGAAAGGGTGACTCATAACAGTGAGCCAAAGTTAAGCTCAGACTTGTCCTTTACTGGTATTTATTTAAGAAACAGCTCACAAGGGAGGCAAGCCCCAGAATTATATTAAGGATTCAGTCCAATGTCCAGTTTAAAAAACTTTGTATCCAAACCAAAATTATTCTGCCTTGACAGCAAGGTGGGAAATCTAACTTAAATATCCTCAGCTGAAGGGAGAGGAGGCCCAAACAGAATTACCAAGTCATATAAACATGACTATACCAAATTACAACGCACCAAAACATTGTTCACAAAGAGAATGACACAGCCTCTCCCAAGCAGATTCCAATTCAAAATACAAGAAATCACTCATATACCTGTGTGTATTCTCACATGATTCTTATAATTAGTTGCACTGGCAAAAGCTCTCCCACATCCTGGCTCTGTACAGTAATAAGGCCTTTCGCCTGTATGTGTCCTGATGTGAACTTTTCTAATATTAGATGTTGTGAATGACCTGCCACATCCTTCAAAGGGACACTTGAAAGGCCTTTCACCTGAAAAAGAAGACAAGAAAAGGTACACTCGCAAAGGTTACAAAAGAATGAAAAGTTCTGAATTACACTGAGACTTGAATGTAGGAACCTAAAGCTACTTAATTTTATATTTGAGATCCTGAGTCAGAAATAGGATGAATACACCCCTGTGGAGTGTTCTAGTTTAGCCAAAACCAACAAAATTCAGGAAAATCATACAGTCTGTAAGCTAAATTATGAAGCATTTGGATTAATACTTTAACATTTATAGAATAGAGTCAGTTGCTTGGATTAGCTTGCACACTGTCCATAACCTAACAACTATGTAACAACTTCCCCAGTTCATACATATATTATCCAAACCAAGTGTATCATACCATTGACATTTGACAATTGTTAATTATTCAAATAAAAAAAATACCTTCGTGATTTAACATATAACCAGGATAAACATGGATGAGTAAAACTTGTGATAGAAAGCACTTAACCTCAAAAAAAGAACAAACTTTCTATAGAGAAGTAGCCATGAAACTCCAATTTCAAATGCCTAGACCAAAGCATATCACAAACACAGGTTCTTTTAGAGTAAATCTCTTGGTGTAATATATAAGTTTAAGCACGATAACTTACATCACTGCACCAAAGCATTTCACTGTGAATAGCAGGCAAGGCCAAGCAATAATACTCCAGCAACCCTGACCTTTCAGATCTAGCAAAGCACACGGAGAAGGAGAGCAAAGGGGGTTAAATTTAGAGAAGTTCGAGCCACTGACAGACTGTCCTGGTGTAATTCCCACTTCTACAGCCAAGTACATTCCACGCACTGTGCTGCTCACCAAAGAGCAGAATCTGAGAGCAAGAGAGACCACAACACTGCTACAGATACAACAATATGTACTTAAAAAATAAAACAACAAGTCCTGATAGACAGTAATACCACGGAACTCCAAAGCAGTTCGCTCCTTGGCAGAGGAAACTACTATTCACTCCTTCGGGCAGCTGTTTTGGGAAGGTTTTCCAGCTTCCTGCCAAGGCAGTGTGTATTTATTCCCCGAGTGTTGTGTTACCATAGCTCCCCTAATCCTTGCTTCAGCCAGGACCCCAAACACGTCTGAAAGCAGCAGGGCTGCAGAGCCAACCCCACCCAGCAACAGACCCCACACTAGAAACAACAGATCCCTCTTCAACAATGCCCGCAGGAATGTCACCAGACCGGTCCCTGAAGGGGCCTTTTCAAATGCTAATGAACTTCCTAGCAAAGCGACCTGTTTCCAGGTGACGGAGAATTCCAGCTCTAGAAATGCAAAGCCTGGAAGCTCTGCCCCACTGCGGTACCGTCCACAGCAGCTTGTCTGATCCCAGAGCTGCGTGCCTGGGGAAGTCATGGAGAAAGCCGAGGCAGGCATTTGATGGCACTGAAAGCGAGACTTTACTCCAAAAGGGAGAAAAGTCATTTCTGGTTAAAACAGGCAGAAAATGAAGAAATCGCTGACCCTGATGTACCTGCTAAAGGAAGGGAAAGGTTTCTGAGCCATGGGGGACAGTGGGAGAGCCCAGACCTGCCTCCCCTGGTGCCCTGATGCAGCCTGCACAAGGCATGAGCGCACACTGCTCCATGCACCTGCACGAAACAGCCCCTGCCATTTTCTTCTCATCCTTTAGCTTCCTGAAAACACTCACAAATCTCAAACAAGACACCTCTGACCCCTGGACTGCTAGGAGATGATGATTCTATTACTAATATTGTTCAGGTGGGTAAGTCACGTAGGGCTGGCTCAAATATTTCGCCTCAACTGCTAAACAGATTAAATTACCAGACACCTTGTGTGGCCATAAAGAAGGAAAGGAAACAGTCCATGGCTAATGAAATTGTCCTACACTACTATAAACCTTTCAATTCATAGTCTTTACTTGATGCAGTGCATATCAACAGTCCTCTTCTAGAGCTGAGATGATACATGTTCATCCTGATGCTTAAAAATCAAGATAGCACTAATCCCAACAGATTCTCTTTGTGTACAGAAGTAAAAAAAAGCAGAAATCTCTTAATGCCGTCCTGAGGTTTTAATAATTTTTATTGCCTGTATTTACATCCCAGCCCTCCATGCTGTTATTTTGAATTTGAAAAAAATCCAACCCCTACTTTTATTTTTTCTTCTTGACTCACTAAGATTCAGACAGTTCAGTGGAAAAGCTTGTCAGTGCTCTAGCAGAGACATAAATATATTGAATGGAATAGGTCAGTAAGTGATAGATTGTTCTTCCTACATTTAAGGGTTTTTTGTGTTTTTTTTTTCCTTTTGGAAGATCACAGACACAAAGAAGACATTGTGCAAACTTGTTTACATGTGTGTGCACCCACAGAGTTTTGCAGAGTGTACTGTGTGTTGTCTAGAATTTGTGGTTTGGCTTTCAATTTAATGTTTTTAGATGAAATGAAAGATTTTATTTTTTGTGCCTTTGCAAGTTTTAGTAGCTGTTGGTTTTCTACATTTTTGTTTTTCTGCTGGAAGAAGAGATGGGAAATGAGGATAACAAGCCCAGAATATCAACCTTCGTGAAGCTGGCATGTGAGTTGTATTAAAGCACCAAAACTGAGGAACACTGAAACCATTTCTAAAAGGCAATACTGAGGAAAAGTTCCTTGTTCTGTTACAGCTGCAGATGAATCTGTGAAGGCAACGAATGACTCAGTGACAATGTAAGTGAGGCACTGATAAAAGTTAGTGCATTTGCAGTAGCAGTGTGAATGCTTAAGCACTTTTTCCAAGAAAAGCATGCTGGATTTGCAGTAGATTCTTACCATGCTGAAATGCTGCTGAGCTCACTGGGCTTCAGAAAGAGAATATACACAGGCTGATTTTGTCAGTATAAAGTCATAGAATGAGAGAGAAAAAACTAAAAATCCACTTAGGTGAAATAACAAGAAAGTAAGGTGTGCTGACAGTACCTGTATGGGTCCGAATGTGCTTCTGCAGGTCTCCAGAAGTCTTGAAGGATTTGGTGCAGTTCTCTTCTGTGCACCGATAAGGCTTCTCACCAGTGTGTGTTCGCACGTGGCTTTTTAACCCATAGCCTGGGGATCAGAAAAGATGTAATCACAGCACAAGCACTGTATCAGGATGCTCATAAACCATCACCAGCAAAAGCTGTACTTGCCATTCCAGTCAGGAATGTTGATGAGTAAAATTTACTCTTTCACTCTTCACAAGCTCTTCATTCTATCCTACAGAGCAGCACTACTCTGGATAACAGCTTTGAAATTCTTTGATTCTTTATTTTTGAAGAAAAAAAAACATCTCCATAATCCTTGTCCTTCCCTTCAGAAGGATAAACTGCAATTATTAGAATGTGGACATATATTTATTCTGTAAGTTGAGGAAGCCATATGCTGTGTTCCATCTAGTTTTATTAGTTTTTTCCTCTTCCCACTACTGTCATCAAAATGACATTTAATTATTTGCTCATAGGAAAAGCAATAACCACAAACCAAGTCAGCAGTAAAACCACATATACAGGTGCTAACCAAGAGCAGTCATAGACACTCATTCTCTTTAAGATTACTTTCAGGAACTCATCATGATCATCAAAAACTCTTCCAAGTCTGAAGTGAAGTTTGGATCAGGCCCTCTATAAATTATTTTGCAACGAGCATTTAAGCAAGATTTTCCTTTCAGTACTTCCCTGAAAAGATAATGACTAAAGAAGTCTGAAATGGCCATTTTAGAAAATGAACCTGAATTTCACTTGTACCTACAAGTGATGTATACATTTCTACAAAATAAAGCCTGTCAGAAAATGTCATCTGCTCTAATTTCAGAGGGTTCTCCCTAAAACAGCTGAAATTCCTGTTCTTGATGGTTTTAAAAGCATGAAGCATGTGAACCTAGATGAGCACCATTTAAGCCAAAGAGTACTCAGTACTCAAAGTGAACTTTGTCCAAAGCAAAGATTGTTGAACTGCAATAGTACAATGGCTCTGATCAAAAATACAGTATTTATAAACAAACAGCTGTTTACAGCCATACATCAGTGTGGTGCAAAGGAAGAGACTATTTCATTACATAGTTCTGAAATCCTTTTACAAACACTATGCAATTAAACTTAGGTGCAGCCCTTTAAAAGTGTGGTTGTTTCCCTTTTGACTTTTTGCATCAGTATTTATTTTGCTCGTTTCTATTCGAAGCAATTGTAGCAAATGTATTAGATCAGATGAAGTTATTTCAAAAATACCTTACTTAAAAAAACAGCCTAATGTTTCTAAGCATGATACTGATTTACATTCCAAGTAAAAAAATAAAATTTGAAACAAATTTTGCTCTTCCACTTTCTTCCATGTTTTATTCCTTGTAATTGCACTTTGCACAATCAAATTCAATCCTAGGGAGAGCATAATTTATAAGCAGAGTAATCTGTACAAATGGAGAGTTCCCTTCATGACAGGTATCACTCTGATACAAATTAAATAAGGAGCACTTAAACCAGCATCTTCTATCAAAGTTAATTTCAAATTTAGACCAGAAGATCAGGAATCTGCCCTAGCCTACAGGTTCAGTTTTCTATTACCATCTCATTTAACTTTTGGTATTAGTTTAATGATAAGAAAGGCCTATTTTTTAACATTTAGTTTGACTGTAGATGACAGGTGAAGAGTGAAGGAAGTTTTGGGTGCTTCACCTCCTTCCCCCTTCAGTAAGAGTTAAATCCTCTGTCCTTTCTATTGCTACACTAGCTAAAAAGACTGCTTTTTTTTTTTCCAGTTGTCCCAACCAACATAGCACTTAAAAAAGGAAATATTAAAAACTCATTTTATTCACAGACAAACACTAACAAGCAGGAGGAGCTGAAGATTACCTGTTGCAAAGGCTTTGCCACATCCAGGATGTTCACACTGGTATGGTCTGTCTCCTGTGTGAGACCTTTCATGCACCTGTTGACATCCAATACACTGACTTAATGAAATGTTGTATCTGGTTACTTCAGCACAGAAACAGTTCATTCTCAAAGCCAACATATCTTATTTATCTTATTAAGATTCACATTGAAGTGTCTGTTTATATCAATGATGAAAAAATAATGAAACATGGTAACAATGTTTTTCCCTAAAACTAAAGATGTCTCTTTCCAAGGTCTAACCTGCTCCTGCCAGTCAGTTAGGTACAAAGCACTTCTGTAAATACATGCGGAGTTGCCATCATGCATTACATTAAAGACAGGAGGTAAATATGCCTCAGACCCCACTCTCTGATTTTTGATTCCACTGAATGCTTCCAATGATGCTCTTAAATTGCATGAAACCTCTACAGAAAGGACTTCATTTTAGCAAGTGACTCATAAAGCCAAGCACTCACTGACTCCTGGAGTCAGAGACAAAGCAGCACTGTGAGGAGTTAACCTCATCAGCAAGGGATTGTGCCAGCCTCAGCTGGAATGTCAGCAGCCCTACACCATTTACCATTTCAGTAATTCCTTTACCCAACTTAAAAAAAGGAAGAGAATTAAGAAGTTGCCACCTGTGAAGAAAAGATGCTCCAGCTTTTCACTTTGAGTATTAGTTTTCAAGAGTCTCGCTTTGTACTATGATGGTGAAATATTTCAAGAACTGGAATTTTTGCATGATCATGCATAAATGTAAAGTTGATAAAGCAATTGCTGAATTCCAGAATTTCTGTGACACTGCTGGTGGAAACAACCTCAACCTGCTGGCAATATAGCAACTGAACACAATCCCAGAACACTAAGTAAACTCAGCTGAGCACCACCAATTAATATTAAATCAATCCAATAAAGATTCGAAAAAACAGCCCCATTGCAATTGTCTCTCTCTCAATTTCTATTACTTTTAACCACATAATCTTTCCAAAAAATCATATCTACAAAGTAGCAATGCATATTTTACATCCTATCACCTTAAGATGGTGAGCTGTCGTGTAGAGTTTTCCACAGCCATCATAATCACAGCGAAAAGCTTTCTCTCCCGTCTGTTGAGATTTTGCAGTCACTCTTGTTCCGTGTCCTTGCAAGACAATCTTAAGTGAAAGAGGAAAAAAAAATTTGAAACCCCAACCACATACTAAGAAAAACAACAACCAAAATGGATCAGAGAAGTTACACACTTCATTTTATTATCAAGCCAGACCTGATTCTGACAGGTTTCTTTTGTTTCTCTTTGGTTTGCTATGCCATGTATTTCTGAGTTCTCAATAAATAAACTAAAAAGAAATAAGTGAAAATCATGATGGAAACTGTAAAACATATTTACTTGTATCTAGTAAATTTAAAAGCTTGCATTAATTAGTCAAATAACAAAGACAAATAATTTAAAATATAAGCACAGTGGTAAAATGAGCAAATTAATAGACAGACAAGTCTTAGATTATATCTGAGGTGCTAGATCTACTCCTAAATGAAATTAGTTCTAAATCAGACCACCTTAAAATATAAATTCATGGAAAGGCCAAACAATAACTACATGTCCTTAGAATGAGCACTTCTTGAAAATGAAAGAAAGCATTTTGTACTTGGTCTGCCATGCATGTATTTTGATCAAGCTGATTGAAGAGCATTGTGAGCTAGGTTCTAATCTCCCTTCTGGCATGACAACATGAAAATAAACAGCACAGCTTCAGGAGTGCTGCAAGTGAGAGTGAAATCCCTTGTACAGCGCCTTCATACATGCAAGAAACACTCATACAGACGGAACACAGAGGCAGAAGCCCAAATCAGCACTTTAATACAACTCTGTGCATAGCAATCAAGACTATTTTATATGGTCTGTCCTTTTAAATCACCTCCTTTTTGTTACAGATCCAATTCTATCCCCAGCTGTCAAAAGAACATTTCACACGATGGATGAGGAGACAATATTCTCAGCATAAAATATTGCCAGCTGCAGCAGGTTGCTCACCGCCATATCCAAATAGCTTCTGAATATCTCCAAGGATGGAGACTCCTGAAGTCTGCTCCCAATGTTCACATTCCCAACTAATTCTTGGATACTGAGGCTCTGCAAAGTGTCTCTGCCAGCTGCTCAGTAATCTGCTCTAGGATTGCCTGTTGCCATCCCTGAACTCCAGAATGCTCCTCATGTGCCCTGTTGTGATGCCCTTCTGGCAGATACTGAGGATGTTAAAATTCCTCATGAGGACGCAGGTCTGTGAGCACGAGGCTTGTTCCACTTGTCTGAAGAAGGCTTTTTCTCCTTCCTGATCATAACCTTGTGGCACAGTCACAGCCTCAGCACCCACACTGATCTGAGCAATCTCCCATCCCAAAGCCCTGTGCAGTCCTGCTGCTCCCCCAGGAAGGGCAGCTCCTGCTGCTCTCCTTCCCCACCTGGCCCTTTTGAAGAGCTTGGATCCACCACCAGAGACTTCAGTCACCTGAGCCCACCACCGCTCCCCCACAGCAGGGAGACTGCAGCCCTGCTACAGTACACAGACCTTTATTTCCTCTTTCAGAGAAATCACAAACTTGACTGCTAACACTTTTCCTACATATTCTTCAGAGAGGATGGCATGACCCATTACCTTCAGACTGTTTGTAAGACTGAAGGAGCAAAGTTCAATACAAAATTTTAATTAGCTGAAATGTTCAACTCCATCACTTTAGAAAATCTTCTCTGGAACCACAGAGAAAAAAAACAGCCTCCTGGATCAAGAAACCCATTACTGAAACTACTGTTTAATCCATGACAGCATGAATCACAGAAATCAAATACATTAAGGATCATGAAGAATACACTTGGTTGAGCACCTGCACTGAAACACTATTTTTTTTTCTATCAGTAAACCTACTATTAAAATATGTATAAACTCGCTAAGTTCTGCCATAAAGCTCAAGTATGCCAAAGTTTAAAAGAAAATGAAAACAATTTTGTAATATGCTGCTATATGCAAAGAAATAACCAGCCATAACCTTTCCAATATTAAGATGGATACAAAAACTGGGGAGGAAGCACCTTTCTAATAATGTGGAACTTACTGAGAGGAACTGTGTATTTCAAATACTTTTAAATAGAATGAATAAATAAATAGAATTAACCCCCCCTATTTTTAAGAGATCACAAATGCATTCTGAGCTCAAAGAGGTAACACAGGAGAAAAACAAAGATATCAGATTTTTCTATTGCACACATAAAAGCAGAATCATACAACCAAAGTGTATATTATGAACAGATGGGTATGGCAGGTTTGAAAGGAAATAGTGAGATATCCATTTGGGCACACAGAGTCTTTTGTTTTCCCACGTAGAAATTACAAAGAGGTTTTATGCTTTTTTTTCTTTGCTGAATCACCTAACTAACCACAGGCAAGTCTGAGTGACTGCTTAGTAGTGTGGCATCTGTTCTGTTCCCTATGGACTTAAGAAGTTTATAAATATACAACTATTTAATTCTACAACTAAATATGAGACTATTTTATATATTAATATATATGAAAACAAAATGAGTTACAAGTAGGTATCTACTAAATCAATATATAAGAATTATTTATATTTTCATACACAACTGATAGCTTTGGGCCCCTTCAACTGAAGGCCACCTTATAAGGGTCAGAATTTTAGACTAAGCCTCATTACCTTTTTTGCAATATCAGATCTTGTTTTGTTTGGAACATAAGATGCCATAAGATTGGCACATTTCCATATTGCACATATGTTGCCATATATGTACAAGATAAAACCATGTCCACATTCAGTTTGCTTTGTGGCTGAGGCCAAAATCAATATTTAGGTGGATATTGATTACAGGTAATTTTACTTAATAGGCTCTTACTTCAGGTAAAACCAACAAAGGTTTTATCTTACTCTTCCTTGAATTTTGCCTTTCATTGGAGTTGTAGCCCCATTCCAACCTACAAGCCTGCAAACCCTCTGAATTTCTTAATTTCATTTTCTGGAACATGGTCCAATACAGTAAATAATGCAAATATTAGTTATTCTCTCCTTCCACAGTTATGCCACAAAGGCAAAATTGAAGTGTCTGCAGCTTTAAATATTGTGAGATCTAATTTGTAAAAGATTAAAAATAGAAAATTTGATCTAACTGTAAGAGGTAAGCCTATAATTATTCCTTTCACAGATAATGTATTTTGATCTTGGAAGAAGATATTTTTTCTCCTTGTCTACTTCATTATTTCTTAAATTAAGCAAAAAGGAGAAAAGGTTTGCCCAGAGAAGCCCCATTCTCAATAAAAAGACGTTTCCATTTTTGATGTGAACATGTGAGGATATAGAGGTTTTAATATTATTTTAGTTGTATATTTGAAGCCCAAAATACATTTTTCTTTGCCTTTTCCTTTAATAAAATACATTATAATGCCAAATACCATTCTCCTTACATAATTTTATTGATCTCAGGGAAAAAAACTTGAGACTTAGTAACTTGCACCTGTATTTTCTATTACCCTTTGAACATTTACATAAATCTTTTCACATTTAAAGGTTTTTACATTTATATGTACTAACAATATGGATCCAGAATAAGAAATTGAAGTATTTTTCTATTCTTTAAGCATTCTCTAGGAGCAACACCCCTAACTACTGATTCCTTATAACCTGCTGGAAAGGTCAGGGACCCTAACAAGGCAAGTGGAATCCAAATAAGTCATTAAAGAGAGAACAGTTCCAGACCTATGCCTGGAATGGTCTCTCCTAGAAGAAATTTTTTAACGGAGACAGTATTTTTTTGCTTTAAATACTACCAAAAGTCAGCTCCTTCTCTGGAAAACAACTTCTGAAATACTTAGACTCTTACTGATGAAATACTCAAGTCAGCTTGAAAAATCTTAGAAAGCCAATACAATTTTAAATTATCTTTTAACAGGAAACCCCCCAAGAAAACAGTAAGTATTAGAGGATCTTTTAAAACTCTTGTGACAGGATCTTGTACAGAGTGAGGTAGTATAGTCTGTATAGTTTGAAATCTACAACTTCTGAAGGGTAGAAGCAAACCCTAGTTTATGGCTACAGGACTCCCTAGCATGCACCTTGCTGGGCAGAAAAGACAAATGAAAGAAATATCTTTAATTATTTTGTATTAAGCACATACCTGCATTTTTTTATCTTGTTCATTTTCACCTATAATTCCTGTGCTACTAACACTGTCATTTCCATCAATAGACACCTGAAAAACAAAGTTGAAATGGGAAAAACATTTACAGGTTACTTTTATTTAAATGAAAAACAGAGGGTTACAGACAGTTCCTGGGGGGTTTACTATTTCACAGCTCTCTAGCTCCCTCTTGGAACATAGTTATTCCCAAAGTACATGAGCTTGCACAAAAATCACCACTTGCAGCACCTGCATTATACAACAGGCCAAGTGAGCATAGCAAAGTTGTTTTATAACAGGCTAGGAAAGACTGCAAGAACTAAGGATGTTAAATTAATAGACTGACAAAAGTATTACAATAAATCAGTAAAATTAACAATACTGAGTTCTGACAAAAAAAAAAACAAACCCAAACATTTACTTCTTTTATAATAAAGGTATCTCTCACTCTTTATTAAGCAGAATGTACTTGTTTCAAACAGCACAACTGCATTTTTAATCAAAACACCAAAGACAATGTATTACATCTCAATTTGAACTAGTCAAATTACAACTAAGCAAGGACCTGGGTATTGCTACATAGGTTTGTTTTTGAAGACAGTCTCCAGGAGGAGAAAGGTATTGCTGTTTCCAAGGAGCAAAAAAATATTTGAAAGACTGTTAGATGTTAATGTGAAATTTTTATTTAAATACAAATATAATTACCCAGTTTAAATAAAACACCCCACACTCACTCACATGCAGCAACTCAAAGAACAGGATGTTACTCGTCACTAAATAAAAAATTAAAGTATACTTTGCATAGTTTCTTATTCCTTAATGGTCTCTGTATTAAGCACAGGCATTCACAATACTGTCTGCCTCCATCATATTCAAGACTGAGACTGATGCACCTAAGCCTAATCTAGGTGATTTTACTCTTCTCTAAAACAGCTTGGCAGGAACCCTCCCTCCCCATGGCTGCTCCTGCCCTTTCACCCTGAGAACATTGGTGGCTGTGTGAAGTATCTTGCCCAACGCACGAGCCCCCAGGAGTTTGCTTGGGGACTGACATGAACTCATCCCACAAGAAGTTTTCAGACTGTCTCTCTAAATTAGACAATTATGAGCAATACACTTTTGGGAACATTGAACTAAAACAGTAATGAGGGAAGTGCCCAAGCAGAGGCAAATTTACATTACAAAAAGATTGAAAAGAGTGTCAGAAAGCAGGTAATTTTGGGGTGGTTTTTTTTCAGAGAGAAACAATAGCTATTTTGGGACCTTCTCCTTCAGAATTTTTAAAGGGGGGAGAACCTGCACAGAGAGGAGACTTGAATTACTTCATCCTGAACTTCCTGTTGTTGGCAGAGAAAAGAACTGCTGACATGAAATTAGAACTTGATCAGCTATTGGAAACAAATGATCCAAGCAGAATGTGTGTGCATGTGTTGAGGCATGCACAAATCCCAGTTACTGTACTTTGCCAGCAGCTGTGATGGCACAGGAAAGCAGCTTATGGAAGGAAAGCATGCACTGTAACCTCTTCACAATTCCATCACCTATTCTGACTTTACTGAGAGCAATGACCTTTTTTCCTCAGTTGCTTTGGGAGGATGCTGGCATTGACTAAGCCCTAAATTAGAGGGCTCTAGTTAAGTCTGCATGTGCTTTGCATGTTGTGGAAAATGGTTCTGTGCCTGAAGAAGTGAGGAACAATAAAAACGCACATGTTCCACCACTTCCAGTGAGCTTCTGGGTAGTCTGCTTGGATCTCTTTGTATATTCAACATTGATTTTGGGCACTCCACTGATCTTTCTGTTTCTGCCTGTTGCTTAGGACAGGGAAAGGAAGAACCACCACTCTCCAAATCCACCTTTTTTCTTTTCTTTGCCCTTTAAGTTTAGAAAAGAAAGTCTTAAAAGAGCCAAACAAAAAAAGACAGCCAACTTTAAACTTCTCTTTTTCAGTATTGTAAGGATTCTGGAAGGATTCCATAGCAGATCTTTAAGCTCGTCCTAAAATACTCTCTTTTATGTTAAAGAAAGATTTAGTCTGCCTTCAAATAAAAACACAAGAACACCTACACTGAGTCAAACTAAAGGCCATACTACTGCACCATTTCATTTCCAACAGCAGCCACTAAACAAACAGGCCAAGCACGTAGTGATGCATTCCCCATAATAATCTGCAAACCTCCAAGCAATTTGTGGTTTATGAACTTCCTGAATCAGAAGTCACGTGTTTCTACCTAATAGCCATGGACACATTTTTCTTCTATGAATTTATCTAATTACTCCTTGAATCCAAAGACATATTAAATGTCCACAATATCCTACAAGCAGTGCTTAACTTCAAGCTGTTTGGAAAAGCATCATCACTCTTCTTGAACCCATCCCATATGTGTTTCACCTGATGTTCCCCAGTTCTGAAACTGGTGCAGCCAATGACAAGCCACTATTCTTCTTTGGGCTACTTAACATTTTATAAAATCCTATCATATACTTACCACATGTATTTACTTTCTTCCTGTACCTTTTTCAAAGTAACACCAGCTATGAAAAGCCTACCTTGCCTTACTATGAAGTGTACATGGACATGGAGAAAAATCACAAAACCACATTTCTTGTTTTAAGAAAGATGCAAGTTTCAGAGCATTGAGCTAATATTTGGTTTTGTACATAAACCAGATGTAGTGCTTGGAAACTCACTTCTACTGACTGTCCCCTAAAGGTTCCAGCAGTACCACTCAGAATAAGGTTCTGAGATGAAAGCTCTAAAAGAAAACCATTTTTTCCTGAACTAAAGCACAAGTGCACTACAAAAAACAAACTCACATTACAGAGTTAAAAAATCCATGTTGAGTTAAATAGGAAGAAAATGCAAATTTATTTGCATTTCTTCTGCTTCTTCTTCACCTTCTCAAAACAGAAGCCTATCAGAAATTATGACTAACAAAACTGCTGGTTAAGAAAGGCAAAGTTGTGATTGATTTAATCTAAATTAGATAGTACCTGTGGAATGTGTAAAAGCTTGTGATTACAGCTCAACCAACACTGAATTACCTTTTAGTTCATGAAATGTTAAGCACAGCATCACTACACAATTTGACTGCCTGCCTTAGGATCTCTCAATTCTAACAGACAGAAGCATAATGAGAAGAATAGAGAATAAGCTATTTAATTATCCTAACTGGCCTCTCAAGTTTTGACAACTCTTGGTGACATTAAGAGGGCAGACTTTAAAATATATTCTGCTCTTTTTCCACAGCAATACAAGCACTGATGACAATTATCTAGCAACTGTTACGCTGCTTAACTACAGTCATGGGAGTTGCATCACCCATACTTACATCATGCTTTACAGAAGTCCAGTAAAGTGAACAACATGAATTTTGTGCATCCTACTGCATTTTTACTATTGAAAATATGGATCAAAGAAGTTTTTTTCTGAACTCAGTTGCTGTCTTAATTGTCTTTTCTACATTTTATGCCATGTGTTGCTCTTGCTCAGTACACCAGGCTACACTCTTCTCATTCAGGAAAAAAAATTAATCCAGCAATAGTGCCTGAACAGGAGTAATTTAACTGTGTTCCTCTTTCCAAACAGTGTCCTTTCAAGAGACTCCTTTGCAATGCTGCAGTATAGACAAGATTATCATTTGGCTGTTAAAATGGCCTTCTAAATCTGACTCCAGTTCAGTGTTTTCTCCTTTTTATGCAACACTACACACCAGATCTGCTCATGACAGTGAAGCATTGTCATGACAATTTGGTGTTCTCTCATCTAGGAGTCTGAGACTCTCTCCATTACAATTTCATTTCTTAACTGACAATTGGCTTGTGCTGCCAGATAGATTGTGCTGCAAATTAGGACATGATGGACAGAGAAAATGCCTTGCAGAGTACCTTGGCTGCATACTGCTCCAAAGCACTGATGGTGTCTGGGTCGATGGCAGCATCTCCTGTGTGCAGTCCTGCCACTGTGCCATCAGCCTGGATGGCTAAAATGGTGTCTGACTGTGGCATCTGCACTGTGTGGTGGATGTAGGCAGTGGTTCCATCCTCCAGCTGCACAGCTTGCAGTGCACTCTGGTCATAACTGTCTGAGGAAGGATATTGCAAAAGGTTAGGATTCTGAAAGGAGCAGCAAGGTGTTACATGAACAACTACTGCTCTCCAGGAAGTGTCTCCTGAAGTCATGCACACACATGAAATACAAGAGAAATATAAACACTTCAAATAATACTATGAATAACACAAGAATTTGTTTTCAAGAAAACACTTCACATAGTTTAATTTTTATAACTACAAAACTACCAAAAAATTTACATTGATCTAGCTTTATTTACAATGGAAATCAGGAACACAAATATGCTTTCTATTTCAAATCCGCTTATAATAAAATGAAAATAATATAAGAGATCTACTGATATCATTACTTCAGATTTTAGAATTCATAGATCTCACATTTTAAGAAGAAACACAAAACATAAAACTACTTTTAACAAAAAAAATTCTCTATCGCATTCTTTCCTCTTACTATTGTTGATTGTAAAATATAATTGTCACACCGGTTTAAACAGACTTAAAATATGTATTTTATCGCTTTTTCTAGAGAAGTGATACTATTTTCAAGATTAGTGTAATCATCTCCTGCAGAAACATAAGTTATCATCTGGAATAACTGGATTTGTATTCTTGACTGTCAGCTGTCACATTTTCTGCCCTACAACCTAAAGGTACATACTCACTTTCATGTGATCCTGGGCTAAATAAACAGTGAAATACACTGGGTTTGATTACATTTATAACTGTTACATGAAGCCCAAGTAAAGAATTGAAGCAGTTGCATTTCAACAATTTTCAGATGTCAAAGTTAAAGCAACAAGTAATTCACACTGGAAATCCCATTAAGATGAGTATTTTTAGAGAGTATCCTATTTTATACTGCTGAAGTTCTGCTGAACACTGATGTAATAAATCCCACTTGACAAAACAGTTACCTTTTGAGGTGTGATGAATAAATGCCGTAGTTCCATCTTCCAGCTGAACTGCTTGTCCATCTTCTAGACGCAGGCTCTCCCCTGCTCAGAAGGAAGAATTACAGCACTTCAGCAAGAGTTGAAAGAATCCATTAGGTGGAAAGATCAAACACTAAATACCTGGGATTACAAAATACCCAAGATCTCTTTATGACTATTTCCACTAAAATAAGAAATCAAGCTATTTTCATGACTGTTAACTATTTAATATCAATATTTATCAGTAATACATCATTTTATAACATATTTATTGTATTATTGCACTCACTGCTTTTAGGCATAGGTACATGTTGAACATAAGCAGCAGAACCATCTTCTAATTGAATCACTTGGCCATCCATTAATTTACCATCTGAAATACACAGAATATTTTTAAGAATTCTAATTGTAACACATCACAGTTTTAATACACAGTTGATACTTTCTAGATTAACATATAAATAAAATATCAACAAGAAATAATGTTTGGTAAATAGAAAGCACAGTGTGACTGTAAAGACCCTTTAAAATTCTGGGATTAAAAATCCAGAAAAGGTCTGCTGTCCTATCTGTTAGGCAGAATGTTGATATCTGGGTTTGAACCATAAAGATCTCTTCACTTTTGTTTGACTCGCGTTCTGAATTTCATTTTTGCACCTTATTAGTAGCAAAACAAAAACATTTTTTTTACGGTACTAGTATAATTTCCCACTGGAATTGGAACTTCAGAAACATCGTGCAGATTTTGCCTGACTTTACAAAGTAAAGAGAGGGTTAGAAAAGGGAATACCACTTTAGTAGCCACCAGTTTGCAGTCCTTTGCCTACCTTTAGAATTGTGCTGTATGTAAGCAGTGGAGCCATCAGCCAGGGTAACTGCTTGCAAACTTACACCTTCCATGTTTTCCAAGTTGTCACCATCTGGCAGGGAAAAAAGTTCACCTTCACTATAAGGAACTCTAGAAATCTCAGCTTAAAGACTTCCCTAAATTATTACATCTCCTCAAAGCATATTGGTTTGAAAAATAAGACGAGCAAGTAGCTCTTACTTGCTTTCTGGTTTCTGAGCCTGGGAGACATACCAGGGTCATATATTCAAGATTTTGCTCTGGAAACATGACAGCTAAATGTTATTTTCCTTAACTAAAAAAATGTCACAGAATAAATAACTACAAAGCTGAGATCTTAGGAGAACTATGATTTAAATCATCAGAACCAATAGTGGAAATAATGACACACATACTTGTATTGATAATTATGTTTTGTACAACACTACTCGTCATTAATACACACAAAACTATTTAGATTAAAAATGCAGATTTAGGAGAGAGTTTGTAATCATAACAAAGTCATCAGGAAACACCAAGTTTAAGCCAATTTCAAGCCACTAATCTATTTTAAAACTCAAGTTGCTTAACACATACTTAGATATCAACAGAATTTACAAAATATAAAACAGTAAGACTATAGAGAGAATAAAGTCAGATTTTATATTTCATATATTTTTGGCACATTTACACTTCTATTATCTTAATTAAAAGATAATTTTCATCCAGAATTAAAACAGTGACTTTAATTAAGCTCAGTTAACTGTTTTCTGCTGGACTTGTAACTCAGAATACGTGACATGAATTTTGGTGTTTTATCTGGGTTTCAAAGAGAAAAGACATAATAATGTAGATGTATTTCAACCTGAGGGTTCACCTTGCACAGCTACAGCTTCTGTTAGACACAGAGTCACGTGCTGAGCCTCCATTCCTCCTCCAGAGAATTCCGTCATTCCCTGAGAGTCTCGATTTATCTGAGCTAATAACATTGTCTACCTAGAAGGAAAGTATTCAAAAAAAACAGAAAATTGAAATACAGAACCAGAACTACGTAATTCCAGTTTAATGTGATTTTTACACTGATTATTATATTATTATATGTTAAAAAAGCATATATATTTGCTTATATATGTATAAAACATGCAGATGTTTTATGCTATGTTTTGCATAAAATAGATGCAAACATTTATTAATTTATCTGGAAAATACTTTGAAGGAATAAAAGTTATCTGAAATAGGTATTACTACCTCAGTTAACTTAGATGTTAAGCACTTCAGGTAGCAGTTACTAATAGGAAGTACTAATAGTTATATTTATTAAGATACATTTAATTAATAAAATTAAATTATAAATATTAATATAAATCACATTTAAATTTCAGTTAAATATAAATGATTTAACCAATGTACAAAGAATAATGGTGGTAATGACAGTACAGGTAATGATACCTATTTGCCCCCAGAATTGAAATAAAGCTGACAATTCACCCATGACAACAGCAGAGCTTTATCTGTATAAATCAAAGATCTCTCCAGTGCCAGTAAGAGGTTTAAAAACAATTATACATTGCAAAAGTCTAACTGAACAATTCAACTATTTCCCTAGATTTTTCAGAAGGGTTTCTGTTCAAACAAAAAGCCAACCAAACAAAACAATCTGTCCTTTAAAATAATGAAGTATCCCATGATAAAATTTTAGACAAAAGGACAGTGACCAGAGAGTGACTGCTGTATATCACAGAACCAGATAGAGCCATCCCTTTGCACACTCACATTTTTACCCAGGCATGTTTTAATATGGGAGATCACATCACAGCTTTTAATCTTAGTGTGGTTCTATGACCTGCTGGCTTTTAATTCAAGGCTGAGAAAAATAATCTAGGCAGTTTACTTTATTTATGATCAACTCTATAAATACATTTAACTATTTTTACCTCTACAGTCCAGAAATCCACTCTTGAATAAGCAATTCATCAGCAGTGTCAAAGACCACTGAGAAAACTGTACTGCTTTCAAAACTAAGGAATAAGGAGTAAAAAATTAGACCATGTAGGTACTCCAGTGTGCCTACAGTATTTAAAAAGGTTGCCACACTAATTTAGTACCCAAGCAGTATTTTCCACATACATCTAAGTGTATATGGTGATCCAGACTTTTTCCTAGAGCTGCAGGCAAAGTTTCTTATTTCCAGTTAATGGAACAGATACAGCTTAAAAGGAAGTGGAAAGCAAGGGTATCTTTGGGAAAGTTTTAAGCTTCCCGCTTTTTTCATATGCTACATTGAAAACCATACAAAAACCCCAAAATATTACTAATCATCTGTGCATAATTCTGTATGAAATATGCCTTCCAACAAAAATGTCCTCATAATTTCTCTCTGGAACATTAAGGAAATTAAAATACTGGCTTACAATAAGGAATTTGGACCTTGAACAACTGGCATCAAAAAGATACATTTAAGACAGAAACCAAAATGTAATTCAAAATGGGTGTGAGGGGATATTTTCAAGATCCAAGAGAAGACGGGTAATTCTTCCCAACATCCTTTTCAGGAAAAGAAGCTTTCACAGAAAATGAAGCCTCTAAAAGAGATGTAACACACAAGAAAAGGAGAAGCCATCCAGACTAAACTGCATTTATATAGATGTCTCTGAAGAAAAATAAATAGCGAAGTTTGTTTGTATACTATAATCTAAGAGACAAGGAATTGTATGAGGATATAGGAGATCATGAGTTCAACACCTCTTCCTCTGCCATGTCCATAACTGTGAGTTTGGAAAAGTAACTTCTTTTCCTACTACTCATTTTTCATCCCCCATCTCAAAATAGGCAGAAAACTTTTACTTAAAAAGCAGTTGGCTCACAAACCAAAAATCAGTTGTAATGTAGCTACAGAGTCAGACAAAGCAAGCACGGAAGCAAAGCAGCCCAGCATGCATGTACTGTGCAGCAAATAAGATCAGAAAACCGCAGCAGTTAAAAAAACCAACCCGCCCCCCCCCCCAAAAAAACCAACAAAAAGACCAACCCCAAAAAAAAACCAAAAGCAAACAAACAAAAAAACACCAAAACAAAATGAAACAAAAAAACACCCCAAACCCCAAAGAAACTAGTAGCAAAAGGAGTTTTATCCAGCCCAGTTTTCAAGGGCTGCTCTTCTGGAGGTACTGCCATCTTATAGCAAGTTAAATTAATAAATTCTGGTATTATGTGCTAGTGGTACCCAGAGGCTGGCTGTCCTCTGACTGCCAGAGCTCTGTATTGTCAGCATTTTCCATGCCCTCAGTTTTCAGGACACCTCTTGGAAGCAGGCTGCAAAACAGCTACACCGTTTCATACAGCAGAGAAAAATGGCTTCACAACCACAGGTGTCCACTTGAACTAGAGACTGAAACAATTCCAGCAGACTGCATCTCAAAGGCCTTTCAGCTCGTGTCTACTTGACAAGTATTCCCCCTTTTAGACTATCTTCTAAGATGCCCAACAACTTTAGTATTATCTGCCTTCCTCCAGAACTTGCGGCTCTTCTCTCACCTTTGAGTGGCAGTGAGGGAGCTGATCCATGCAGACAGCTGCAGAGTTCAGAGTCTGAGCAGAACTAATTGCTCAAGGGGTGAGTAGCTACTTTGGAAGGAAAAGAAAGCTAATGCCAGATAAATTCAAGGGCTGCAGGAGCAACAGTATTTAAATTGTTTCACAATGTTTGTTACTGTAGCAGGGCTATCAACCCTCACACACTGAAGACGGAATGAAGGGAACTACTGCACACAAAACACCTACAACTTTCTGTTCCAGAGGATCTGGACAATCATACAATCTCACACAAGAACTCAGCAGCAATGCAGTCTATTTCTCCCAATTCTAGCTCCTTGCAATGGTCACTTCCAACATATCCTTTTCTCAATCTTCTATCCTTCCACTAAGTTCCTTATCCCCAGCTCCATCCCTCCTCCTTGAAGCACCAATTTTCTTCTTCAATCCTATCACAACACCAAATTTCCAGGATCTACCTCTTCCCAGATACAATCCCATCCTTCTTGTAAGAATAATGTAAAATACTTCCATGCCCACACCAACTCCTTCTGCAACTAGTCCCCAGGTCTTCTCTTGCTGCTGGCCTTTTCTATGACCCCCTCACACCACTGTCTATCCCCTTCCTGAACAGTTCACGTTCAGACCCACCTTGGAACTACATCCCCGACAAGAGGCTGGAGCACTGGAGTCCTCCCATACACCAGCCCCCAGCTTACACTCCTCTGCAGGGACACAGCAGCTTTGCTCTGTCACTCTGCTGTGCAGGGAAGAGAACCCTCAGCCAAAAGTGGATGTGCTGCTCCCTTCCAGACCCTCCTCTTTCTCCCCAGTGGAGAACACTGACTAGCCAGACAGAGCTGGAAAGATGTAGCAAAGATGTAGAATTGGTCTGTGTTGCAGAGAAAAGGGTCAGTCTATCAGAAATAATGATGCTACAGCATAAGAGCAGTCAAATACAGGAATAAATTGCCAAGACAGGGTATGGACCCTCCATCCTTGTAGAGGTTCAAAGCAACTTGACACAGCCCTGGACAACCTGGGAAAATGAGACTTGCCTTGCTCAAGCCTGAACCAGATAACTTCTGAAAGTCCTTCCAACTTCACCTGCTCTCTGCTAATCATTTCAATAATGTATACATTCACAGCAGCATCACCTTACTGTTTGTGTATCATCTACCCCTCTAACATTTTTTAATTTGCTTTGCTTTTTCAAAACCAGCTTTCATCAAACTCAAATCTCTTCCTTGCCTCCACTTCAGTCACTCTCTTCTGTTTTCTCCTCAGCTTCCACCAGATTTGTCTCCATCATTTTTTCAGTATGAATCTCACCAGCTTCTTTCCCTAATCCACATCATTGCTTTTACTCCTCTGCATTTGCAAAATAAGGTTTTTTTCTTTAAATCTCCTGTCTGCCAGGAGTTCTGTCAGTAAAAACCTAGGAGAGAAGATTTCCTTTACCCACTTCAAATATTGCAGCTCATTAGTTAAAAGCAGCTGAAAGTATCCATTTTTAGGAAAAGCCAGGAACCCTGGGGTGGGGCCTAAATAGCAGCTGGGCAAGATTGACACGTGGATTCTGCTTCATCTCAAGAGCTGTCTTACAGAAAAGACAGCTACAGGCTCAGTCACGAAGTACTCACTGAAGTGAAAACTCGAGACTTGACTTTGTGAACTCTTGCAAATCCTCACAGATCATACGCAAGTTGCAACTGTCAATTTTGAAAGGCACATCAATGACGATATTTGGGCAGACTTTCACAAGGACAGTAACGTATCCTGCATTCCTGAAATGATTAGTCACCAAAACACGTCTATGGTATCCATGCAGAGAAAAATCTCACCATTCTTTTAGATGGTTAAAACACTTCTCACAAAAAATCAGCCTGATGCAAAAAAATTTTGACAGAAAATCTCTGGGCTGAAAAGAATGTCTGAGCACAGGCAGACACTCCCCCTCTAACACTGCTACCTTCAGCAGCCATCCAGCAGGGCACAGAGGTGAAAATCTTATTAAAAAAAAAAAACAAAACAAACCACCACCCCTTGCAAATCATCTGAACAGAAAAAAATACTCTCAGACACACATTGAATTCTCAACACTTGGAAAGCAAAAGCATATGGTGAGGGAAAAAGATGGTTAAAAGCAAAAGATTTTTCATAAAGAGCTCATCAAGTTGCCTATGTAGAGAGCACCTCTTGTACTTTTCCCTCCATTAACACTTAAGCAAACAGAATCTTCTGGGTGCTATCACTTGTTTCAGGGAAAAGATGCAATGTTAGAAGAAAGGTTTTTATGCAAACAATCTAGCAAGTGGAAACAGGAATCTCCACTAAAAACTAGGAATCAAGCAACTGAAAAACACCAGGTGGGATTAAGGCGACTGAAAAGCAAGGGAAGAGATGGTAGAGGGCATGGCAAGGCTGCTCTGGAGCAGAAAGGGGGTTTGGGGCACTTGGGAACTCCAGCAGCAATTTGTCATTTAAAGACTAACTGTACCACTGTATTGCTGGAGAAAAAAAACCAAAAACCTGCACTGACAGTAGCAGAAACTTCTAAATTATTCTTAGAGGATGATTAATAGGAAATGGAATAAAGTTTGTAATAGCAGTCATGGAAGAAAACTTACTGTTACAAAATACAAACTTAGAATGTGCAGAAAAAACTGGGAAAGAATGACAGGAAAAAAGCTACTTCAGATGTTCAGCAACCTTGTGATTGTTCACTCCCCTCATGCAGACAGCACTGAGAAGTTTGAAATAATATGCATTTATTTCTTTTGAAAGAAAACATCACTTTTATTTTTAATACACTTCTAAATAATTTACAAAACCACTGTAATTTTATAAAACTTATAAAAACAGCAAATAAAAAACAATCAAGAAGGGTAAGATGGCAAATAATACATAGCCTCACATTAGTGAAACTTGCATTTTGGAATTTTAGAAAACTGCGATCACACATTTGACAAAGCTGGATCCCAAAATCAATTCAAGTACATCCCCAGTGTAACATAATTATAGAGTTTCATCTGAATTAAATACTGCTTACCTTAGGGTCCTTAACAACTGATATGATTGCAATTATCAGTAATTTCACAAAACTAGTCTGAATAACAAAAGTGTGAAAACTCAAAATTAATACCTACAATTAACAATCTGATTAAATACACTTCAATTGATAATTCATATGTGTCACACCTTCTGAGTCTCAGTGCAAAAAGAAGTCTGACAGACTGGAAAACTGAGTATTCGACACAAAGTCTTTTCAGACAACCCAAGAGGACTTTTAGCATTTCTTCCCTCACTAATTACATAATTTGTCATCTTTAAGCTCAGAAATAGACAGAGGAGAACTAAGACTCTTTCTACAATCTTACTTCAGCTCCCCTACGTAGCTGCATGATAATCTTTTCCAGTATTAAGCAGAAATCTGTAACAGGGTCAGAAATTAAATCTAGATCCTGTGGGTGCTTTGATCAAACACTTCAGCAGACGTGGATTTCCTTCTTCATCAACAGCCCTTACCCTTTCCAGGACTTTACTGAACTGAAAAATTTGGGCTTGTGCTGTTGTCAGAGTGACTTTCAGTGAACAATTGTAACAACTACTTAATGTTGAGCACTTCTAAATTGCTACGTGCTTTCTCACAAAATCTCAATTTCTTTTTACTGCGTTTTCTCTAGTCTCTTTTAAAGGCAAAACATAATTAAACAGCAACTTATACCACATTAATCATTCACAGTATAAAATGGAAACAAGGCTGAAATACAGAACAAAAATTTCTTTTACGGACTCTGGTAATATCAGTTGGATTCAGATAATTAAATAGCAAATCACACAATCACTTTTTAATTTCCTATGTGATAAGGAAGTGCTCTGAATGATAAACCACATGCCCTAAGTCTTGTCCTGGAGAAAAACCTGACAAAGCATGAGAGAGCACTGTCAACTGCACAAGCATGACATACACACTGTGAAGCAAACTCAAGGCTCCTTTTTATTCTCTTTGCAGCATTTCAATCTTTCTGTTCCACAAGAGATACATCCTAATAATAATCCAGTTCAAGACTAATTCACCTCCACAGTGTTTGGTACTTCTTCAGAAATGAAAAATAAATGCAAGACCAAATTTATCACTGCCTTAACCACGTATCAGTCTGACTTCAGTGTGAGCAGTGGGAACCGCATTTAGCCTGAAAAAATTCATGTTCCAGCAGTCTTTTTCCCCCAAAAGGCATTTCTACAGAGCTCATATTGCAAATCCCATCTACAAATTGTGAATATTAGAAATATTGCCTGACATAAATGTTTGCATTTTATAGATATATTAGGAAAATTGGATTAACCAGCACAAATATTTACAAATCCTTACTCTAACTAATGAGATTATGTGTATGTACATATTTTCACACTGTGGAAATGCAAAGGTTTCTATTCTTTTCAAAGATGTGGCATTTAAACACAGGAAGATTCAGAAAGCCACCCACCAGCAAGTCCTACACACATAGAGAAGTCTCAGGCTGATCCCAAAAATGACTTCTAACTTCACACATTTCTTGAGGATATTAGAGAAGAAGTTTCTGGTTAATGAAAGGAGGCCAGAGTAGTTCCATCAGCACATGAGCTGTCAGCAGTGCTGACGGAGGCTAAACTCCTGCTGCAGCTCTGGGACAAGAATGTCACAGCAAACATCCAGTTCCATGACCACATCTGCCCCGGGTGCACTAGGGTAGCAGGCTGCCTAAGCCAGAGGTTTCAAACAGATTTGGGAGTCTTCTGACAGAGCCAGTTCCAAAAATTCTGTATGGAAGCTGACAAGCAATTGAGATCCATGCAGTACTGTTTGGAAAGGTACACACAGCGGGATTCCAAAATTTTTATATTAAATTATTAATATAATAATTTTATATTAAATACAAAAAAGTATATTAATGCAGCTGGTCAATGAGCAACACGCTAATGACTCAGTTATTATTATTATTAGCAGCAGCAGCAGTACCCAGCAGCAGCAGTTTGGCTTGAGGAAGGGCCACCCATATAATCTGTCCCAAACACCAAATTCAAGCATGCCTGAAACACCCCTGTATCATTAGGAATGCCTTGCAGAGCTACTGCATATGAACTGCGAAACTCACCTAGCAAAACAGCCCATCAAGTTTCTCTCAAGGCAGGTGGTATTTCTTGTTCACAGCCAGGATACATTTCTTCTCTCCTGGCCAAACTTGTATTAGCAGTGCTCAGGCACACCTTCCCTTCTAAAGGGCCTCAAACCCATTTATTTACTGCAGACTGACTGGTAATAAGTTACTTGTATTTTAATAGTCAAAAAAAGTTTGGGTAACTAATCATAATGAGCACACTCAGGAAAAAAAGCTGAATGGCAGGTCAGGGGATTTTGTGAAAATACTTAGAACATGCTTAACAAAGATGAAAAAACCCAAACTTTAAAGTAATTTTACAGCACATGTTAGTGAGATAAAGCATATGATTCCAAATGGATTTTCATCCTGGAAGTATGAAGGGAAACAGATTTAAAACACTTAATAGATGAATCAGTCTGATTTAAAATTACTGGTTTTTGTTTGGTCTGTTTTTACATCAAGTGTATATATAGCTAAAATACATACGCAGAAGGCATCCAGCCAATCCATGTCACAGCTGTATCTAAGTCATTCCTAGAAATGAGCAGCAATGACTACTCACACTAAAAAAAATATATACAGTTAACTTCTGAAGCACTTCATGGGGCTACTTATCCCTTAAATCATAAAACCTCCAGTTATATCAGTGTTTTAAGTAAAACTGGGAACATCTGGTGATTAGATGAATCCTTAAGGGCTAAAAACCTGAAAGAAATGGAGACCTATTTCTGTTGTTGTTTTACTTTCATGCCAAACAGACTTCTAACTTCTTAACTGTCAAGCAATCACAAAAGTCTCTTATTTACATGACCAAAACAAATGAATCCTGGCCATGGCCCTTCAAATCCTGCAAATCCACTGAGACTGCCAACAAAAAGAGGAATTTTGAGTGGGTTGTTTTGTGTGGCTGTGAGTTAATTAGCAATCTGATAAGTACATTACAGATGTATCAGCATCAGCCATGACAGTTAATGGCAGTGCTTTAGCACAGGCTTGCATTTCAGGAACTAAAGGGGCAGCCTGAATTGCCAAAGCCAGATTACAAACAGAACTTGAAACACATCCTACAAAACTCTGTGCATCACCATGTTAGCTATATACTTAAAATATGAGCAAACCAACTACCTTGCAAATACAGACCCTTCTTCCAATTCTAAAAAAATCGATCATCAGAAATGAAGTCCAAGAGTATTAAGTAGGTAAAACAATTTTCTGCTCAAGTGTATACAGAGGAAAACATTCTGCAGACAGTAAAATAAGCGTTACGTAGTTTTAAGTGTAACTCTGATATCAACCTTGAAAATTGCAAAACCTGCTGGAACTGTAAATTGCCTTCAAAACTGAAAATTTCATTTATTTAACAAGTGTTATCTTGGTGGAGCAAAGTACAGTCCCACTACACAATTAAAAATCAGCCATGTAGCCCAGCACAATTTAGCAGACTACGTCTCTGGAAGCATTTACTAATTTAGTCCAATTTGGTTTTGAGTAACTGCTCAAACTGCTGATCCCTGGTGCACAGAGGGAGAGAAGCAAAATCATATTCCCTTAAATAAATACAACCAATGGCAGATGAAGTAACACTTAGGTACAGGCAAAACTCCATAAATCCCGCTGTGCTGAGATGGGTGATAAGGCTTCCTTCCCCTCCTCCCTAAAAATGGTGTCCATGGAGAGACACCTCACTCCATGCTCAGAACAAGAGCTATGCAGACCTTAAGTTACAGGAATTTGCACTTTAGAGCTGAACTCTTGGGTTCAGGAAGAGGATCTATCGGTTTGGATCACAGTATATCTTAGGGATCATAAGCTAAGCAGAAACCTTCCTCCCATCTTTTGGGATCTTTTGTGACACAAGCCACAGGAACAGACTACCCAGCCCATGCTGTCTTTACCAGGTGCACTGATTTCCTTGCACAGAGGAGATGAAAAACCAAGCTGCCTCAAATTAATGCTGAGCAAAAAGCACTGCTGGTGAGCTGCCGAGATGTCCAAGAGACGTAGCAGCAACACAGGAAAAAAAAGTCAGTGAGAGGCAAGGAAAGTCTGTCTCGGGGTGCTGTGGTGTGTACACACGTCAGAGGCTGCAGGAGATACAGAAGGTATCACGGGAAGCACAGAAAGGAAAGAAGGTATCACGACAAGCAGACAGGAAAAGAGTAACTAAAAGAGCACAAGGTGCGTCCCACCCTCCTCATGAATATTTGCATTCTGGCCATTGTAAGGCCTGAAACTCGACGAATTGCCCTGATTATCTGTGTAAAAACCCATCCAAATTCAGCCAAGCCCTTAGGAAAACAATTTGCTTCACAGGCACCTGCTAACGACCCCCCAAAATTGTAATAGTGCTTCTCAAAGACTCCACCTATGCTGAGCGTGTTAACACAAAACTCTTAAGGTGAAGACTCACATGCAATAGCAAGGCAAGAGCAACATGCCGTAGGGTGAATGAAGCCATCCTGAATAAACTAAATGCAGGAACCCTCATCCTTATCCCTGTGCCCATCCCAGAGCAGCCAGCACTTGGACCTGGCCGCTGCTCAAACTCCTGACAATTCCCTTCTCCTGGACAGTACGGGACAGCAAAATGTTCACTGAGCTGAAGCAGCACACAACTGGAGGTATTCTAAAAGAAAAAGACTTATTTTGCATCCTAATTTGTGCACCTGTTACCAGGGACCATTCATCACTTAACACTGTGCCTTCCTTCCTCTGAGAAAAGAATCAAAAGCTACAAAAGAACGAAGACAGAGTAAAGTCAATGTGACTTTCTACCTAAAGTACCTTTTACACTATTTTAAGTATTTGCTTTGTATTAGCCTTTAACATAAAGCAAAATTACTCTTCCTCGGATGGGGTAGTAGAAATGAAATATCAATTACAAAGAGAACACTTTAAGTAAATTATTAAATCAATTTGAAATACACTTCTCAAAACTCCTTCAAAATGTTTATTTTTACATCTCATTTAAACTGCAATCCATTACCAAAGCAATAATCTATTATTTGACCACATATTCCTGAGGTTCCTTTTCTGCAGTGTAACAGACAAATCGCTTTTGACACAAACACAGCTTGAAGCTCAAGGCATTAATGCAGACATACAAAGAAATAAGCTATGAAAACACAGCTGTATCGTACCCTGCCATTCTAAAGCTGTACGGCAAACGCACAAAGCTAACAATCTACTACGGGTATGTTAAAAAACTGCTAGTTAAAGACAATCTAACTTCATTTATCAGGTACCATCACTTAGAAGCTACAATAGAAATATTTGGTATATAGTCTGCAAAGATAGCTGATAGACATTTGATAGAGAATCTCGATAAAACAAAGAGGAAATGTTTGCTTTGAAAGACTATAAGGTTGCAGCTCCTGTGTCACTGGACTAGAAATAACATTCCTTACAAATACTGGTATCCCTCTACATACGATGGCAAAAACAATACTCTGATAGCTCAAAATGAAACCTTAAAATTTTAAAAGTTAAGTAGAGCTGCTCAACCGCAGCCATGCATTGACAAAAAATCTAAACTTGCACGGAAGTCACATCATTTTTTGTGGATGAAAAAGCACCACAAATAAGCCTTTATCAGAGAACAAAACAAAAATCTTTGCATTATTGCAGGCCATTTTTCTAGAGGAGCAGCTTCTCGTTATCCCGTTCTATTAGAAGTTCCACAGGAAAAAAAAAAGAAGGGAACGACAATAGTACAAAAAAAAAAAAAAAACCCAAAAGAAAAAGACAAAAAAATAAAAAAAGACAAAAAGAGGTTAAAATGCTTTTGCATTTTGGCGAGGTGAGCGAGATGCAGTAAAAGAGCTGGATTTCAGAAGGCCGGAAGGTGCCAGGACCTTCTCCGTGCCGTGAGAGCGCGGCCAGGCCGCGCCGCAGCCCCGCGGCTCGGGCAGGAGCAGCGGATTTTCCTCCAGAGCCTGCGCGGGCCCGGCCAGCCCCGGCCAACGCCGCTCTAATGCCGCTCTGCGGCCGACGGCGTGGAAATAGCACGCTTGGAAAAAATAATAAGAACAAACGCCCATATATTTTAAAAAACAGAAAAAAAAGAAACAATAAAACAAAAATCAAAAAAAACCCCAAAACACCCAGCTACGGGGAAAATGTAAAAATATGTGAGCCCCCCCGATTTAGGCACGGCGGGCGCGGGGCCCGGAGCGCCCCGGCCCGTGCCCCCTTCGCCCCCGCCCGTGACGCAGCGCCGAGCGGGCCCGGGGGGGCGGCCCGGGGGACCCCCGCGGGCCCGGCGGGCGGGGAGGGGCCGGGCGGGCCCCGCGGAGCGGAGCGGCTTTATCGCCGCGGCTCTGCCGCTCGGGTCGGTGCCGCCCGCGCCCCGCTGCCCCTGCCCGCCTCCCCGAGCACCGCCGGCGGGCGCGGCGGGCGCGGCGCGGCGGCCCCGTCCGGAGATGGCGGAGGGAGCATAAGGCACACTGGGTAAAAGCACATTTATATACGAACCTCGCCGAGAAATTTTCCAACAATTCCTCCGTCCGACCACCATGCACCAGGACAGGAAACGGCCGCTCGGCGCCGCCCGCCCGCCCGGCACCGCCCCGCGCCCCGCGGGCGGGGCCCGGCAGCTCCAGCACCGCCGTTCCCATTGGCCGCGCCGCGCGCGCCGCCGCCGCCGCCGCCCGCCATTGGCCGCCTGCGGGCCGCGCGGCGGTGCCCATTGGCCGCGCGCCCGCGGCCCCGCCCCGCAGCTTCATGGCGTCGCGGCTGTGCCGGGCGCGGGGCCGCCGCCATTTTGTGCAGCGGCAATGAGGCGTCCGCGCGCCAGCGGGGAGCGGCGCCATTTCCTGCCCTCCCCCGGCGGGCGCCGCGCGGGCCGGCAGCGCCTGAGGGGACGGGAACGGGCAGGGCACGGGCGGCGGCCGCAGCGCCCCCCGGAGAGCGGATCCGGCTCGGCCGGGGCCGTCCGCTCCTCCTTGGGCCGTGCGCGGGGCCCCGCGGGGCCGAACGGCCGGGCCGGGCACGGTGAGCGCTCTGCCCTTCTTCTCCCGGCCTCCTGCCGCATTACCTCCGGCTACCATTCCAGCCCGGCTGTGGGGGAGAAGGACGCTGTGCTTAAAGCTCTGCTTGGGACTGTTTATCCCTACGTGATTTGTAGGTATGGAAACGTGTAATAAATAGTCCAAGAGTTCCCAGTCTAAGGCAGGCAAGCGTGTTACGGTTAATGCCGTAGGTGATTTTTCAGAATACCCTCTTGTACAGTTGATGTGAATTATCCCCACTGATGTGACAGTAAGGCCTGCTCTGATGGACTTACTGCATCTTCCTGTACACGAGATGTGAAAATATTTACGTTTTGTTCGAGTAATAGTTCGAAATTCTTGCAGTCCAAAATTACTGCAGTTATACAAAAAGCCAAAAAAAATTACTTAATTCCCCAACAGGCCTATTAACCAGCAGTTTTTCTTTCCTAATTTATTGTTTCCTAATTGTAAATTTTAAGCCAAGTACATGCTGCAGCCATCAGTTTGGTTCAAGATACAGCAGCAGTGAAATACCCAAGATAAAATTCTCTTTCTGATTTGCCAATGCCCCTTGTCTTAACAGATTACTTGTTAACATCCCTGTAAAATACTACAATCTCTGTTTCCCATTTTGTGCTTTATGTTTCCAGCATCAACAGCTATAAAAAGCAGAAATACACAAACCGGTGACATGCCATTTAAGATTAAGCCACATACTGATTGAAAAGTAACTGAAAATCAGCAGCAGACAAAGCTTTTCCAAGTGGCTCATTCCGGGCATGTAGAAGGTTCCATGGAGAAAATAATCAACCCATAGAACTTACCAGGTATCCATTACTAGGCATAATTAAATCACCTGCATGTTTATTGGCAGGCAGTCAGTAATTACTCCACTATAGACTTGATAAATCTTGCAGCAACAGTCCTAGGCTAATATACATATATTCATATATATATGTTATCATACATATGAATAATTCTTTGAAGACAGTGATTAAGAAAAAACATATTAAACTAACGCAGTATGTCAGCATTTTAAAAAACTGCCTATTTTTTATATTTAACACAGTTGAAGAGAACTCTGGTTGTGCCTAACATTTGTTTGGAGAAATATTTTGGAGAGGGAAATACAAACCTGAGAGCTGTGCAACTTGAGCAGGACTCTACTGTAAAGATACAGCTACATTCAAAACACCACACTGAAATAAGTGAAGATAAGGATTTGCTTTAGATGTTTATTAATCCAAGGAGATCTTCCATAATAGAAAAAACCAGAGGCTTTAGATTTCCCAGATCTTCCTTTAGACTTGCATTATCCTTGACAATGGAATGGATAAGAGCAAGTTCTAGGAGGAAGATCAGTTTTTAATTTGACAAGTGTATCACTGAAATTGATATATTGCATCACAAAATGCGCTATCACCACCAACAACAATGCAAAATTGTTTTGCAATTTATAAATACATTTCTTGGAGCAAAGGAAAGCAAAGTTCTAGATCCATTCTTAAAAAAGATGCTCCTTGCTAACCAGTCTAGTGACACATAAAAGCACCCTTGTAGTAAGACTGTATTCCTCACACCAAGATAAAATTTTTCCCTTGACTTGTGACTTGAAAAATATAATTGTTCCAGAACTGACAATGGCACTAAACTTGGTGATTTCCCCCTATCTTTTTTATCATCTGCTTTATACATGAAGCCTTCTCACTGCTGCTGCCACATCTTCTGCCACGAGGCCCAAAATGGCTCATCTGTCCTCAGAGGTTTTCATACATTTTTAGGATGTATATGAAAGTAAGCAGATACCAAACAAGCAGATGTTCAGAAATGATTTGTCAAACTGGGTGTTCCCAAGGAACACAAGAGAAGGCATGCTGGAAGTACATCTGTCAGCTTTCTCTACAAAAATAAAATGCTGTCTAGAGGTTGCCTGGGGGTCAGAGCACACCTGGAGGTGCCCGTGAGTTAGTCACAAAGCCCCAAAGAAGCTCTGCTCTGTGCACCACCTAAAGATGCACAGGAACTACCCTGGCTCTCACCACGAGGATGGATATTCCCATCCAAGGCTTCATTAGTTGGGCTTTTTCACCTCAGGTGCTTTGCTTTTCAAGTGTCCCTTCAGTACTGGGGTCGGGCTCTGTGTCCCACCTTGGCCCCCCGGGGCAGGGAAGCGCTTGCCAGAGTGGAGAGGCTGGAAAACCCCTCCTGCTGCCTGGGAAGCACCAGCACCAGTGGAAGGCAGAGCGTGGCACTGGGTAGCTCAGCAAGGAAACCCCAAAGCACCACCAAATCCTGCTACTCTGCTGATGCAAAAAAACCACACCACACAGACCAATTTTCTGAAGACTGCATTTTGAGTATCATAATATATATATATGTGCATTTCATTTTTACAGATAAAAACTCAGTTTATTTTTAACCTGTATTTAAATTTTGGAGGCTTACATTAAATTAAGGTAGCTTGTTTAATATCAATTGTAACAGCAGGTGACATTTTTATATAAAAACAGCCTAAGGAAAAAAAAAAACCAACCCAAACATTTGATTTAAAAGACCTGACACCAATGATCTCAAGGCAAGATCAAACGCCAATGGATTTTGCTTTTAGAAAAGAAAAAGGGGGCATTTAAGCCAACCCATTCACAGCCTCTCCCTGCTGGCTTCTTCATACAGTGGTTTTGATAGTGGTCCCAGAGGGAACTGTATTTTGCCTCTCTAGCTAAAATACTAGTTACTATAGCAACTTTGAAGGAAGAAAATTGTGGCTTCAAAACCAAAAGATTGGCAAAACTTCAAATACACTGTCTGGATCAGGCAGACAACAGCACACACGAATGGTGCAAGTGCAAAAAGAGGGGGAATGAAATGCAGGAGTAGCACACCTGCACTACCATGAGCTGGAAAAAGAGTATTTTGCACACGTGGGGTTGAAAACTTCATTTGTATCCCATAGCCTAGATCAGCCAATGACACTCTTGTTTTTAATAGATTGCATATGTAGATGTTTCACCCATACACTTCAACTGACCTTTAGAACTTCACATCTCATTTACCTTTTTTAGGGGGTAACTTTTCTTTGTGCTTACAGTACACATTTGTTCAATTTTCTAGCTTGTACAGTGAGATCTTTAAAAAAAACAAAGGACACGGAGGGTGTTGCTATTTTTTCTTTAGCAGCAATGAAATATCACTAACCCCTTTTTACATATCCGAATTCAAGTCACAACCAGAGGTGACTGCACCACAAAGTCACCAGGTACAAAACTGCTAGTTCATTTTAAATTAATAACTTGAAATTATTTTCCCCAGTACATCCCTTATTTTTTATTTTTATAAACAGCAAACATTTTGCTATTTTTGTACATAGGCTAGCAGGCTTGTTTCAATATGAAAGTGCTAATTCATTTACAGATTTATCAGTTATGTAGTGCTACATTAAGTGTCCAATATTCTACATATGAACAATCTTGATAAATGGAAATGATGAAGATTAAGTAAGGCTATCTGATTACCTTATCTTATTTACATTAAAAGAACAGACACCCAGTAGTAGGGATGAAAGGGAAAGAAACTGGGCAAATACTCATACTGCCACAGGTGTAAAAATTAAGTCTGCCTTCTAGCTTGTACTGTAAATGAGACATTTTAAATAGTCCTGCAGCCCATGTCTAGTTTTTTTTTCCTCAGAAAAAGAAAAGCTGCCTTCATGACATCCCCTCTTGATTTCCGATCTCCAAAGTGTGTCATTTGAAGCTTTAAATTCAGATTCTTCCTATCTTCAAAAAACCCTCTGGTTTGCTTTCCAGTATCAGGTTGAATAATCAGGTCCCACTTCTGGGGCTTTCATCCAATCTATTTATAAATTAGTTTAGAGTGAGTTGTAGATAACATGAACCAGTTCTGGAACCACTATTGGGAGGAACACAAGCTCTTCACTACAATCACACAGTAGCAG